CGCGGGGCCCTGAAGCTAGATGCAAAAGCTAACTGTGCAGTGGTGACTAGAGGACTAGTCAGGAGCGCGACTCCGGGCTCATAACTCTTGCATGAGCTGAGGAGGGGACATATGGCAAACGACTCGACAAGGGATCGAGATCCAAACAAGGTGGAATGAGTGTATTGTAAGGTCTGAGGAGCTCGATAGAGCTCTAAGCTGACTATATACTGTACGAGATAGGAGCTATGCCTAATGAGTGAATAGTGCAGTACATGGGTATGATATCGCGTGAGACACGTGCGACAGCATGCTCTCAAATTCTGAAGAGTTGAATATATATCTGCAGTACGCGTTCGATCATTTCGCCCAGAATCTAGATACACCGTTCAACTTCATGGATGTTGCCGTTAAGATAAACCCTATCCCTTCCGACTTTGGAGGCAATATCCTAAAGCTAGCCGTCGCGATCAAGAACAGTCGTCGCTTCGCCGATCCAAGGAGAATCTTCCGGGAGCTGAGCTCTATGGTAAGCTCATGCATACTGCTGGATTGCGTTCGTCAGAATCTCAAAGGTACGTCTCTGCTGGATGGCATTCACGGCTCTCCCATGGGCATTTGCATTTCAAGATGGTCTTCAATTAATCCAACCAAGGTCCCACTGAACAAATACTCGAGAAAGCATACATCGACTACTGTGACACTGCATTGGATGATTTCTGCGCTATATTCTGGCCATGCACCTTCACTAATCGACGTGGCCGTTGTGTCAATGTCAAAGATCGCCACAAGAAAGGACACCAGAATGAGAAAGGCCAAATAATCGGTACCGGTGAATACCAGTCGAACTTTACTTGGGATAACTTTGCAGACGACTGGGAATCGTTCTTACTGCAAAACCTATCGAGTTTTAAGAACACAGCCCAGCAAAAGATTGCACACAACCCAACGACGAGCGAGCTTGTTGCGACTACCAGTTTGCATCACACTAACATCAACGCCTTCTATGGACGGCTCGGTGGGGCTCAGAAATTTGTCAGTCATTCCACGTGCTTCTGCTGTTTGAGAGAGATGGCGGAACATCCGCTTCCTTGTGGTCATGTGCTCTGTACGCCGTGTGTTAAAGGCTTTGGACAACGCCACGAAGGCACTAGCGGTCTGTATTTTATGGCCGCATGTCCACTTCATGAGGGTGATACCCTTTTCCCTACGCCTTGGGAGGTACACTTTAAACCGCCACTGGCTGGTGTACGCGTCCTGAGCCTTGACGGGTAAGTGCCGACCCGCCCCCTTGTATTTCCAGAGACTAACTAATACAACTAGTGGTGGAATGCGGGGTATTGTCATCCTCGAAGTTCTTCTTCGTATAGAAAAAGAATTGGGGCAGAAAATTCCAATCATGGATTTCTTCGACTTGATAGTCGGAACTAGGTTCGTATTCTATTCTATTGACTGGAATATTTACGGCCGATAGTAGAACATACGCTGTTTGGCATGTCTTAACCCCCTTACTAACGGCACACGATAGCACAGGAGGGATACTCGCGCTCGCGCTCGGAGTAAAAAGGTGGGACGTCAGGGACAGCATTCAACGCTTTAAAAAGCTTGTCGACAAAGCTTTTACACCAAAGTTCGTTGGCGGTTTGAAGCTCGGCAAGAGCAAGTACCGTACTAAGCCTCTAGAAGACGCACTAAAGGAAACTTTCAAGGACGAGGCCATCTTCGGCGGAACTCGTGATGTAGCTAGTGGAGCACGCAAAGTCGCCGTCACTGCTTCTTGTGAAACCGGCGAACAAGCTGTCATTTTCGCAAACTATAACAGAGCGACCGACGATCAAGGTAAGATTGACGGATCGATGTGTCAACGTCTCTAATACCTGCCAGCGAGTTATCGTCTTGATCGTCCGGATGACCCTTCAAGTGGACTCAAGCTCTGGGAAGCGTAAGTGATTCGGATCGGTCACATCATTCTTCAGTAACTTTTCAATAGGGCAAGAGCAACATCAGCTGCGCCAACGTTCTTTAAGCCCTTCGTTAACCAGCGCACAAAGGAAGGTTTTATAGACGGCGCTGTCTTTCACAACAACCCAGTGGTCATTGCAAAATATGAAAGCAGGCTTATCTGGCCAGATGTTGAAGAGCAGCATCCAGATATTTTCTTATCCATCGGAACTGGCCACAATGGGGAGGATACCGAGGGCTTCATAGATCCGTGTCATTTGGATCAGAGACGTCAAAAAACGAGAAACGTACTGTTATCACGACGATCCGAACCGCGACCGCGCGGCATTCCTGCCTTTTGGGCCTTCCCCGAAGTTAACTCCTGGATCAATGTGCTCTTCAAGCGTGTCGACAATCTTCTGGATTCGGAAGCAACGTGGAAAAACTTCCGTAAAGAGATAACAGCGAGTTCGTCGCACATTCAAGCTCAACGATATATACGGGTCAATCCCCGGGTTGGATTTCGCACCCCGAAGATGGACGATAAGAACCAAATCGACCAGCTGCACGCTAGCGTCAGCGAAGACATGAATAAGGCCAGAATGCGCACCAAGATCATATCAATTTCCCATCGGCTTGTTGCAAGCTGCTTTTACTTTGAGAAGGCTGGGCCACTCAGGGAAGTCGATGACAACTTTGTTATACCAGGTGAGTCACTATGCCCTCTGAGCATTTCACGGGATAAAGTTGTTGGCAGGGCAGATGTTATTCTTACGATTGTGTGCTTACGAACATTCCTAGGCACAATCCGTTGTCGCTTCGCCAGAGGCTCAGATAACCTACGCAACCTCGGCGTCTACATTATGAGACACCAACGGCACCCCTTTCAACCGTACTTCAAAGTGCAAGAAGCACGACATGGCGAGAGGACACAATATATCTACCTGATCAGAGAGATCATCCGAATGATGACAGAAACCGCATCCTTTGATGTCGGTTCCATAGTCATCCCTGTGTCTCAACAGACCGCCCTCGTGGCAATAGATCTCCACCTCATCGACGAAAAGAAGAGCAGCGGCATTCCCATAAGTGGGTTTCCTAGAAGTTTGGCCGAGGGTGAACCCCTCAAGAGACCTAGTAAGTATACTCCCACAATTAATCAGGCAACTCTATTGACTTCCCCTTTGAATCCCCTACTCCAAGCTCTTCTGCAACAGAACTCACCCCTATGGCCCAAAAGCGCGAATCTCTCCGTCGACGGCGAAGCGTTTTGCTCCGCCGACCGGACGACAATCCTGATCTCTCTCGAAACGTCAGTGGGAGCGGTAGCAGCAGTAGCAGCGACCCAAGCGCCTTTGCGGAAACCCCAAACGATGTTAACAATTGGGTCAGACGCCGGCTTAGAGCGACACGCGCGCCGCCGAAACCTGTGCTGCCCTTGGATAATCAGGAGGTTTTTGAGCTATACGGCTCACCGCCGGCCCAGGGACCGGCGGATCAGGATGAGGATGATGAGGCGTTGACGAGGGCGTTGGCGAGGAGTGAGCGTGAGGGGTTCGCGGGATTGAGGACAATGGATCCCGGGCAGGATGAGGATGACGAGATGCAGAGGATTATATTGTTGTCGCTTTTAGAGAAATGAACTTTTTCAAGTTGTCAAGCAATATGTATAATGAATAACAACCCCTCCGAAGGAGGTAATAAGCATGAAACTTGAATGAAATTGTGAAGCTAGGAGGAGCACTAGATGCATGAGGAACTGGATTCATTGCTAAAGGAGGGCAACTACGTGTTTATATAGTACTAGATGAACCCATCATGTGACTTAAGGCCACCGATAGCTCTAGGCTGCAGCAGGTGGCATTGCTAGGCGGCGGTACGCCGAAGGAGTGTTGGTGGCTAGCGCATGGAGAGCTCCGTAACTGCAAACAGATGATCCAAGACATCTTTCCATTGCCGTTCTATCTCCACCATTAGGTAATGTAGATTGAGAACATCAATGGCCTAGTGCCGATGGTGGGTTTTAATAGATCTCTGCTTCGCAAGTCTATCGTCAAAGTTGCTCCGGTGTAGGTCTTGTGGCTCCGCTTTTCCTCCCAGCTCTTTGACCAAGGATACCATTTCCACACTTCCTGAACCCACGGCTATGACAAGCGGTAGCAGTCTGAGCTCGGGTTTAAAGTACGGGGAATTGCTGCTGCACGGGTTGACGCCGCGATCACGGATCAGATACTGAACCATCTCCCGGCAATCGAAAAGAATGGTCTTGAGCAAGGCAAACGCCTCACAGCGCTCATGCTGCCAGGAGACTGGGGTCGAAGGTGGATGGATGGATGTCTTTATTACGCCCGGCTCTAGCCTAGAGGGCACTAGTGCGTTATTACATAAGCGCTTCCTTAGTGTTGGCTTAACTCCTTATAGCCCTTACATGCCTCCTGCTCTGCTATCTAGCGTAGTTGTTACATATCCCCCTAATTATAATTTATAGTAAGTGTTCTTAAAGTCTCTTCTTAAAGTGTTTAAAGTTCTTTTATTAGTAAGTAAAGCAGAACCTACTATTATATAAAGTTAGTATTAAGCGTCTTTTTTTTACTATTATCTTTATAGTTCTAGGTTTCTATTTTCTTTCTTACTCTAAGTAGCTTATTGCTATTGCGTACTTAACTGTTATTTTTACTATGTTAATGTCTAGTAACTATTCTACTAGGTCTATTAGTGCCTTTTTTTTTAAAAAGAAAAAGAGGTTTTTTTTTTTTTTTTAGTCTCTATTTACTAAAGCATTTATATTTAAAGTGTGTTCTATTTTTAGCATTAAAAAAAAACTGCTAAATAGTTTCTTTTACTTAACTATATATACACGTGTTTAAGTCTACAGCTTTTATTTAGTTTAGGTATATGTTTAGCTATGTTATTCTACTTTATAATTATGCTAGTATCTTTACTTCTTACTAGGTTAGAGTGTTATAGAGCTTTTTAGTATATTTTTTTAGTAAAGCTATATTTATTTTATATATGTTGAATAGGCTCCGACAGCTAGCTGCTTATGGTATGAGCACTTAAGTAGCAAGAGTAAGAGTGGTGTACGGTGTGCACAGCGTACGAGGTAGGTAAGGTGAGGGCAACATGTTTCTGGTTCTATTGCTCTTGTCTTTCCTCTGTACGGAGGAAAAGGGGGATATCTAGATGTTCGCGCACGGAGGTTCGCGCACGAGCATCATGTGACATAGATACGTGATCCTGCTCGTGCGCGATCGTTCGTATCCAGGCCGCGACGCTGCTGCTGCGTACAGACAATATAAGTATTTTTTTTTATTAGTAAGTCTTTTTTTTATTTTTAGTTTCTTACTATAGTCTTAGTTACTATTAACGTTACTTAGTAAAAAAGTTTAGTTAGTATACTACTATTTACTATAGCTTTTTTTACTACTTTTTTAGCCTTTTTCACTAAATTATTGCTTCCTGCTAGGCACTATACTATATATATAAAGCACTGCCTTTTTTTAGTACTTAAGTTATGTTGTAAATCTGTTTAATGCTAGCTTAGCTAGACTAATTCTGTAGCTAGCATATTGCCTATATAGCTGCTTAGCTGCTAGTAAGAATAATAACCTAGTCTACTGTCTACCATGTTAGAAGAGAGGTTAGCGCTGCTGCTATTACTGCTAGCTCTACTATGTAGAAGTTTTACTTTAGCCTAGGTTTTAAAGTAAAAGATAAAGTAGTAGCTTAAGTAAGCACTTCTTTTTACATGTTATCTATTGCCTTTTTTATCCCTACTATACTAAGCTAGACAGATGCGCTTATTATAATTCTAATACTATTACACTAGCTAGCTAGTATTATAGCCTTTACTTAGTCTAGTTTAATTATTACTAAGATGTACTAGTTCTATAGCTATATACTATATAAATTAATTATTTTTATTTAGTTATTATTAAGCTTTTTTAGCTATTTTATAATTTTTTATAGTAGTAATTAAAACTATTAAAAGCCTATAATTTAAAATTTTAACATAGAGTTTATTTTTAGTAGTGTGTAGACATTAATCTACATCTTAATAGCTCTTACTATGTAGCGTTTATGCACTGTCTGTTGTCAGATTGAAGCACTGTTTCTAGGCTTCCTAAGATGAATGATGGGTTTAGATATAATGTATGGGATGATTGATTGATTGTATTAATTGTGTTAATTTATTGATCCTTTTTCTGCTCTACTCGTGTTGCTCGGCTTTTTGTTTTGCCGATCCGGGTCCCTCGCACACTTGCCCTATGCGCGACCAGCCTGCAACATGCTGCAATTTGCTGCAATTTGCTGCAATATGCTGCAATTTGCAGCAACATACTGTTCGAGCCTATTGCTCGTACTATGTAGCAGCTTTCGTCAAACGTTCCTTCTGTCTTGACAGTAGGTGCGCATATCTGACACACCCCCTCAGCTTGGACATGCTTCAAGCTGGTTCCCGATTGCGCATCCTTAGTATGCTTCCAGGGCTTCCATTCTTGCTTCAATCTCTTCCATATCCGCTTCCTAACTGACTATCCTCTCCCTAACGTCAACTAGCCGAATTTGCTAAAGAAAGCTTGGCCATTTGCTGGCTAGAAGCGCTTTAGTGAGTCCGTCCGCAAGCATCTTGCTGGAGGGGACATAGACAACCTTGATTGTTTGTCAAGAGACTTCCTGTCAGAGCTAGTGGTTATGGATGTTGACATGTTAGAGCTTGGTTTGAAGTTAAGATATCTCTTTGTTTACTAGTTAGATTGTCTGCTTGTTGTTGCACTAGATTGTAATAGTTAAATTAGGCATTTTAACCTGCAGTTTATTAAAAAGCATTCTTATAAACATAGCTTCCTTAGTAACTTAGAACAGTGCAAGTAATTCTGCTTTTGTTATTAACATTATAACTATATCTTGTTTATTTACTTGCTATGCAATCTATCTACTAAATAGTTAAATAACATAGCCCTAAAAGCTCTTTTTATCTAGTGTATTATCTATAAATAACGCATTACTTGCTACTATAAAGTAGTCTTCTCCTCCTAATTAGAGTGCGTACGTCTGTGTCGCATGTAGGTACAGGATGACTTGATTAGCTGCATCCTAATGGTTAGATGCAGGATTTGTGAGAAACTGTGCAAGGCGTAATGTAGTAAAGGCAATGTCTAGTCTTGTAGTAACTGCTGTAAAAAGCAGAGATCTAATCTTCTACTAATATTAATTTACTTCTAATAGGGTTGTAAAACTAGATTACAGCATAAGTTTAATTCTACTTATAGGTGTAGCATGCTGCAGGTCCTTTCTATTAGCTAGCCTAGCTATTTTATTAATATATAATGCCTATAATAGCTAAATTATTTATTACTGTTAATCTCTAATAATCTTAACTCCTAGAAACTATTGTAGGTTCTTGCCTCTTATTAGAGTATACTTCTCTTGTAACTAGTCTACTACACGCTGTGCATCTGCTTTAGAGCCTTTTCTGTACGCAATAATAAGGTTGTCTATGTAGAAGAAGACAAATATTCTAGCTTTAGTTATGTAGTAGGGTTTATGTAGAACAGCTAAGAACCTAAGGCCTTTAAAGGTTATTATAAAATAGTGTTACTAAATTAAAGGAGAAATTTATAGGCTGTATAGTGCTTTTTAAAGCTTTAGTATTATACTTAGTTTCTAATAGCCTCTTAGCATCTGCATGTAGATATTGCAGTTAATTGCTGCATGTATAAACGCGTTAGTTACGTTGTATTGTTTAAGCTCTAGGTTAAAGTGTGCAGATATTACTATTAGCATTTAAAATAAGTGTTTTGCTAGAGTAGCAGTGTAAGTATCTTGTGTAGTAATGTTTCTCTGTTAATTGCTATAGACTACTAGTTACGCCTTACATTTTTGCAATTTATAGTGCTTATTAAGCTTGTAGGTGTACACCTACATATAATCTAGAATTTGCTGTCTAGCTGCCTTAATTAGCTTTGTCTAGACCTCTGTCTAGGATTTTATTATCTAATAACTGTCTAGGTGCGTTCTTTCTGCTGCCTTAAACATTTTATATAAAGAGTACTCCCCTAGTTACTTTTAGGTTAATAGTAAAAGTAGCAGCTAGCTTTTATAAGGTGTCTTTTTTTTAAATAGCATTTTTATTAATGCTGCTTTATCTAGTGTCTTACTGCTATGCTTTCCTATACTTTTAGATCTTATGCTAGCTATAAAAGCTACAGCCTATAGTACAGTCTTTAATAACTCTATTTAGCTTAGCTTTAGTGCTGCTCTAGCTATTAACTGCATAAGCAATGCTGTAGGTAGCAGAGTATTTAGAGAAGACAGATAGTTATCTCTAATTTTTCTTTCTTAATAGTAGCCTAGTAGGTCTACTTTATTATCTATAGTGTTGTTTTTATAAAATAACTCTGTCTTTAGCTAATAACTAGGTGTTAAAAGCTTAATTATTCTAATGTATATAGTAATTTTCTTTACTATGTTATGTATAAGGTTATCTATTAGGTCTTTAGGCTTACTGCTAAAGATTAAGTGTTTATTAAAAATAATATTACGTGTACAGATTACTTTTGCTAGCAGTAGTATCTATACACAGTAGATGTTTAATAATTAGTACCTAACTAGATATCTAATCTACGCCTTTAGGTCTAG